TTGTCTTCTCATGTTGTTGAGTCTGTAAAGTTTAAGATTCAGCTTCAAGTTCAAGAATCAGAACCGGTTGCTAAATAGCGTACCAAATCCAGAATCTCCGAGAAGAGCAGCCAAACCATCAGCTAATGCGTCTAAGAACATGTCCTAAAAAAAGTATGAGTCGGCCAAAATCCACCAGGTTGCTGCCAGCTGCCAGGGGTTGGATCGCATCATAACAAGAACATGATTCACCAAAGCGTCTCCGCCCTTGCTCCTGAATATGCAGCTGTCATTTTTTGACAGAAGCGGGGCAGTACAGAGCAGATGTTACTGGTAGGAGCTCAGAAAGCATCAGAGATCTGCCTCAATTTTAAATAAAATACAGTTACTCAAACTTGACATTTCACACATCAACATTGTGCACCAGCGACGAGTGAAGTCAGAGAATTCCCTGTTAAGCGACAAATACGTCAAGTATAAGCTCAACGTTGGGCAGGAAGACGCTCGGGCTTCTGACAATGCCCTCTCCCCGCCCCCCCCCCTGGCCGCGATTTGAAGCACACAACATGGGGCTTCATTTGAATTCTTCTCATTATTTACAACCAGCCAAAATGTGTTTCTGGAAAACATTTTTAACGTGAGCAAACAGATTTGTGCGTTTCCACAGTCTTCCATGAAGACCACCTGATCTGCAGAGTAGCCTGGCTCAGCAAATGGAGGAGGTGGCCCAACGTGACGCTTTCGGTTTCTCAAAACACACTGAATGGAAATGACTGATCCCTGTATATAAATTACTGTTGGGGTCTCTGTAACATAATGTTAAAAGGATTCGGTCTAACCTGCTCTATTTGGAAAGTGTCCTAGATAAACTTCTGTTATGAATTGGTTAACAAATAAAATTGAAATGAATTGATTGAATACAATACCTTACTTTCACTGGGTCTGTTTTCCTGGTCTGGAATCAGTCACCCAGTTGTAGAGTTGTTTCGATTCCGATACCAGTATCGGAAATTGCTCCGATACTGCCGGACTGCTGCATCGGATTGGCGAGTACTGGAGTCCAGGCACCGATCCGATACCCGTACATTATTAAATTAGTAAATCTATTTACTGGTTAGCTCCGTTAAGCTCTGCGTACAGTCTTCTTCGCCGCTCTTAAAAACAGTGCGGGCGCGTGCTGCCAACCTGCAGCGCTGTTTTAGAGGACGAGGAGGAATGACACGTGACACAGACACAACAGACACACACCAACGGTGGACGCGTAGGCTTGCGAAGCTAAGAAGTAGCACTTCATGTCGGCGGTGTGGCAATATCACACTGGAATCTCCCCACCAGTAAGACTGCCACATGTAACGTGTGCAAAGAAAATCTCAAGGGGCTCGATGTTGCTAATTTTAACACAACAATTTAATGAAACACCTGAAGACGCCACCCTAAAGAGCACAAAAATTTTCCTAAAAAAAAAAAAGGAAAAAGAAGGAACGACCGAGCAGCAAACTCTAGAAGCTGCCTGGAATAAACAGACAAAACCTGGAATATATTGTCCTGATGACCAAACCCCCTTGTCTTGTGGCTCACTTTATTTTAAATAGATATATACATATACTATCCTAGATTTATTCTATTTAAGTTGCGTTGCATACTGTATTTTTATACTGTTTTACTGAAAACATAAAGGCTTGAATTTGCCTGTATTTATTCTATTTTCCAAAAGGGCTTCAACCTGAGCCAGGCCTTACCACAAGATAATCATAATCACAGTCATGCAGCAGGCTATGATATTTCTTTTATAACATACGGTATCGCCGATGCCCACAGCCACAATATCGGAATCGGTATCGGAAGGGAAAAATGGTATCGGAACACTCTACCCCCAGTTGTGATTCTACCGGGAGCCCTTCTGATAACTTAAAATCAACCTCATGACTAAAATTTCTTTTATCCGCGTTCAAATCTAGAGGTTAAAAAGCACCAAGATCTAAACAGTGCGATCAGGTAACAGTCAATGTATGACAGCCTTCTGATTATTATTGATTGAATCAACTCCATATAGAAAATAGCTCTAGAGTTTTTGGGTGAAATCATGTACACTTCAACTTTGGACATTTTCAGGGGTCTAACTGGGACCCTGGCGTGTTTGTCGTCATAGAAACAGATCAAAAGATTGTGATGTTTATTGCAACAGATGAATCTTGTCCACAGAGACCAGTTCAGACTAGACCACATCAGTCAGTGCCTGAGAGCTCCACTGGAGCTCCTCCCAGTCCGTGACTTCCTGTTTCTTTCTCTCGCAGTATCATGCGTTTCATGGTGTCTAAGAGGAAGTTTAAGGAGAGTCTTCGTCCCTATGATGTCATGGATGTGATTGAACAGTATTCAGCCGGACACCTGGACATGCTCGCCCGCATCAAGAACCTCCAGTCCAGGTAAAACTTCTGACCCCTCACATCATTTTAGGTTGATAAGAAAAACGTTTTTTGATCCCACACAGCAGGGTATGAAAGTACTATTGTTATTCTATTGATTATGGGAATTGATTAGTGCTATTATTATCATCATCATCATCATCATCCGCTTATCCGGGGTCGTGTCGCGGGGGTAGCAGGTCCAGCAAAGGACCCCAAACTCCTCCCTGCACATCCCAACGATGGACCGACTCAGCGTTGAATAAACTCACCACCTGCTCGGTCCCCTGGCCTACCTCCAGCTGACGTCAGAATCACCTCCTCAGGAGGCATCCTCACCAGATGCCAAAACCACCTGATCTGGCTCCTTTCTACACGAAGGAGCAGTGGCTCTACTCCGAGTCCCTCGTGGATGACCGAGCTTCTCACCCTATGCCTAAATAAGACGCCGGCCACCCTCCTGAGGAAACCCATTTTGGCTGCTTGTACCCACAATCTCGTTCTTTTGGTCATGACTCATCTCTCATGACCATAGGTGAGGGTAGGAACAAAGATCGACCAGTACATAGTCTTTTTGTGACAACAGTGCGATAAAGCGACCGCAATACCGCCCCCTGCTGCAATCTCCCGCTCCATTCTACCCTCACTCGTGAACAAAACCCAGAGGTACTTGAACTCCTTCACTTGGGGTAAGGACTCACTCCCTACCTGACCCAATCCACCATTTTCCTGCTGAGAACCTATGCAGAATCTTTTATCTCACCGTCAGAAGTTCTACTGTTTTCATTTAGAACACATTAGAAGACATTTTTAACATCTGAAATGCAGATTTAGATGATTTTGGTAATAATGTGAAAATTAACAGCAGTATTGATGTTTGATCGCAGATATTTCAAATGTTTTTTTTTTTTTACACTGGGTGAGGTCACTGTGAGGTCACTGTGAGTTTGAGTTGTGCTGTCTCCTGATTGGCAGGGTGGACCAGATCGTTGGCAGAGGAACTCCAATTGCAGACAAGGACCGTCCCAAAGCAGCCAGTGAAGAGCTTCCTGAGGACCCGAGCATGATGGGACGGTTGGGGAAGGTGGAGAAGCAGGTAACCAATGGCAACCATCAGTTGCTGAAAGCTCTTGAAATCTGATTGGTGACTTCTGGTCTCCTGTTCCACAGGTCCTGTCCATGGAGAGGAAGTTAGACTTCCTGGTTAACATCTACATCCAGCGAATGGGAATCCCTCAGGCTGAAACTGACGCTTACTTCGGATCCAAGGAGCCGGAACCGGCCCCACCCTACCACAGTCCAGTGGATCAACTGGAGAAGAGCCAGTCCATCTCCAAGATCCTGCAGTCAGTGTCTACTATAAGTCATAAAGCGCGTTTTTACATGTTATTGTTATTGGCTGGGTATGAACGTGTTGTTTACATGTTGTTTACATGTTGTGCAGGGTGTTGCCTGGTGACCACGTTGAGAAGAGTCGCTTGGTGACGAAGATGGTCCGCTCCAGCAGCTCCACTGGCCACAGGAACGACAACACCCCCACCTGTCCTCCCTCTACTTCCTGGCAGCCAATCAGCTCCCAGCTCCACCAGCAGGCGCAGCCCCCTCCCCAGCGTAGCCACGGCAACACTCCAAGTCCAGTGGGAGATGGGTCTCTGGTACGACTCCCACCTCCTCCGGCTGGAGAGAGACATGGTGGGAACCGTTCAAACCGGCACAGCACCGGAGACCGAGGGGGGATGGAGAGGGGAAGAGAGGGGGCCAACGGAACGGAACCAGGAGCAGGAGGAGGAGGGGAGGAGGTGAAGCCGGACAGTGACACCTCCATCTCCATTCCATCTGTGGACCATGAGGAGCTGGAGCGCTCCTTCAGTGGATTCTCCATCTCGCAGTCCAGAGAGAATCTGGATTTCCTCAACAGCAGCTTCTACCAATCCTCTGCCAATCCAGACCACCAAGGAGAAAGAGGAGGAGGAGGAGGAGGTGGCGGCGATGCCCGCTGCGCTGCCGTCCGGCCCTACATCGCAGAGGGGGAGTCGGACTCTGATTCTGAGCTTTGTGCCCCCTCGCCACACTCGGACCGGGCCTGGACCGGAACCAAGTAGAGTCAAAGGTGAACTAGAGCCAAAACCAGCAAAAATAATGAAATGTGAAACAAAAATAACGGATGGAGGTCTACAGTGAAGCATCATGGGAGCTGTGAACAGTACTGGGTGTTTGATGTCATTATGATGTCATAAATTGGACATTTTATTCATGTGAATGTTTTAACTTGTACAGCAAATGATTGGTTCACTGCTGGGACATGCTCATACCTGATTGGTTTACTGCTGGGACACGCTCACACCTGATTGATTCACTGCTGGGACACGCTCACATCTGATTGGTTTACTGCTGTGACACGCTCACACCTGATTGGTTGCTTGATCCATGTTTAAGACTTGTAAACACTATTACCACAACCACAGCTCACTGTTAAACGTCTTCATTACATTTTAAAACAAGACACAAAGCATCATGGGAACAACACGTATGACAGACTGACACGTCACCATGGCAATAGACTGTTGTTGTTTATTTGAGCTTTCAGCTGACATCAGGTAGGATCGAAGGTAAAAAATGGAAAGCATCCATTGTTTGTTCTGGCCGCTACAGGCCAAAAGCTGGAACTACATTGACTGATCGAAAGGTTGTGATAATTTTACAAAAACACGATTCCTAAAAAATGTGAATGTACACAAAAAGCAAACATCTACAAACTGTTTATTTAGATTATTTATAGTTGAATATGTCTATGTACAGTCATCAATAACAATTGAAAATGTGATTTGAAGGTTACAGACACCAAATATATGAATTCCACTGAGTCAAAATCTGAGATGGAAGTTAGTTTACGTGCACATTCAGCCCTTACTCTGAAAAAGACAATAATCCTCCTACCCACACTGAATAATGGAAAGAAATATTCACTAATATTTCCTGTTTACTCTAAAAGTGAACAGCTGGAGCTCATTCAGACATTTTGTCTCTTTGCGTCAGAAAGGGTTTTTTCTAGTTTTCCAGTGGTAGTGAACTCAGCCTCCCTCTTTCACCTTCTTGAAAACCTGTTAGTCTTTATAATGTTGAACAGCAGAAATGTGGGCTTTTATTTTGTCTTACCAAAATAAGAGCCTCTTTTACTGCATGTACAAGTACCTCATCCCTGAACTACACACAATAAAATACACAATATATACACGACCAATGAGGTGACAATTAAGACAACAGCTGTTGTCCCAGTGCCAGAAATGAGCCAGTACTCACAAGTCATGAGTACCCTTTCCACCTCTGGTGACCCACTCCCACCACTGAGGTGCAGACCTCAGTAACTGTTCCAGAGGTACACAATAAAAGTCAGGAAATGATTAGGGTTAGGGTTAGACCTCACTGACGCTGGTGAGGTCCTAAAACAAAACAGCACTCATTAAAATGGATAAAAGGAAATTGTTGTTGTTCAGGTTCAGTGTTGAGCTGGGATCGTACTGTCGGAGTTACTGCACGTTCAATAATAATAATTAATTTGGCATACAATTATTATATGCATTAAATTAATGATACCACGCTAACAGAGACTCTTAGGTGTGAAAAGTTAAATACTCAAGTAAAGTACAGATTAGCAACGTCCCGATTCGATCTCAACGATTGGTATCGACACAAATCAAGAAATTTTTTTAACTGATTGGTATCAGCTATGCTGAGCTTAATTGACCCGATCTTTTGTTTACGTCTTTTACTCATTTATGGTGCAGCCATCATCAACTTCCTGCTGTTTCTTTCCTCCACTCTGCTCTGTGTGAGTGAGCAGAAGAGACTTGACACAACCACTCGACACGCACCTGCAACAAGTCCCACAAATAAAAAGCCAATAAGAGTAATTATGAATGTGATCCGCACAAAAGATGTAGAGACAATGGAAATAAACAGTCAGCAGAATACAGACGGTTAAATGAATAACACTGAAGCAACAAACACTGGAGAGAGAAACTCTTGTTTGTCAAACATATACAATGGATTGATTTTAGTAGCTTTAATGTACTTGAAGTGTGCACTGTAGGCTATGACCTAAAAAAATAATAGTATGTGATTGGGACTTGGTATCGGCAGATACTCAATATTAAATTAAATATTAGTTTGAAAGTATTTGTACTACTGACTTCCCTCTGCTGGTTATATGTGAGAACTCGTGAAGGAATAACTGATGAGATTCAGAACATGAACACAGCACGCCATGGTGTCATAACATTAGTATGTATATACAATGTAATCAATTAATATTCAATAATAAATCCCAACAGTTAAAATTATTGATCTGTTCAGCAGGGGGCAGCCTCGCCTAAGGAGACCAAAATAAAGCAACCGTACCAAAATAAGAGCCTCTTTAACTGCTTGTACTTACGAGGTTTCAGCCGATCAATCAGCTCTCCATTGATTGGCCGATTGAACGTTTCATTTGAATGTAATCACACTTTATTGGCTGTTTCTATGGAGACCATTGTTTGTTCAGAAGCAGAACCATTTAAACCTGTTCTGGATTCATGTTTGAACACAACTTTATTTAAACAGGATAAGAAACTTGTTTCAGCATCTGTCAAAGATCAAACTGTCTGATTGTATTTGAATAAAACTTTTAACCATCTTTACAAACCGAAACTTTATTTTAAACTTCTTTAATGAACAAAACAACTGACAGATTTACACAGTGAACACAAAGATGATGATGTGGAGAAGAAAACTGCAGCTCCAGCCGTCCATCTTGGCTCTCACTTCTTCTTGAACCTAACGGACAGAATGGAGTGTCAGCCATCTTTGTTTCACATCTATGTTGGACACCCAGAGAGCAACAGAAAGGTAAAACATACCTGGAGCCACCTGGACGCTTCCTGTCCAAACCAAGACGCTTCCGGTCTGAGAAGGACGGTCTGTAACGAGACAGGCGTACAGGTGAGACAGGTAGGTGTCACTGATCATTCTGAAAACTGGTTATTTTAATTCAATTCAATTCAAAAAAGTTTTATTTGTATAGCGCCAATNNTCAGGACACTTTTCAAATAGAACTCTTTATAGCATTTTTTAGTTATTTTTTAATTTTTTTAGTTTAGTTATTTTTCAGTGTGGAGATCAATGAACAGAAATATATGTTTGACATAGCGGAAATTAAAGAGTCGGCTGTGGGGTAGCAGGGTAACAAGGTAGAAGGTAGCAAGTAGTAGGATAGCAGGGTAATAGGATGGCAGGTAGCAGGGTAGTAGAGTAGCGGGCTAGTGGGGTCAGTTACAAAGATGGTAGTTATCTCAATTGTTGAGACCCTCACACGTTTCAATATCACTCAAAACAGGCGTCAACAATTAAAAAGAACTGAGGTTCAAGGATGGAACCCTGAGGGACTCTACAAGGTAGCTCTCAGTTATTCCTATTAACAGATAAAGGTCCTTTAAATATACTGCAGTACAGTCTCTATCTAGATCCAGTGTTTGGTTTGTCTGTTCTGGGCTGCCCCGTTATGGTGGGTCAAACATGGTGGGGGGACTCTGCCAGAAAGGAGGACGCTGCTCCCTCTGTAGGATAAAGTCTATTCTAAAGGTAACAAACACACAATGATTCTTATTATCAGCGATTAAGACACTAATGGAAACACACCTATGGATATTTATATTGAATGCGACGCACACTGGAAGCTTTTAATCATATAAAACGATCACAGACAGACAGGGTGGGTAAAAGGACAGACAGGTGTACAGACAAGGGAACAGGGTGTACTAACCCCGCTCTGTTAGGTGGTTTCAGAGCCTTTACTCGGCCTGGTGTTGGGTGGAAGCTCTTATCAAACACGGACTTCTTTCCTCCTGCTTCCTGCTTTCTGGTGATGCTGCCCTGCACACAGCAAACACGTTAGTACACTGATGCATTTATTTCTGTGTCTACTGAGTAGGTATTTCTTGTGTTACTGCATGCAGTATTGGATGCGTATTTCTGGTGTACTGATGCAGTATTTCTGTGTTCTGATTTGGCAGTATTTCTGGTGTACTGATTGCCAGTATTTCTGATGTTTTACTGGGAATGTAGGGTTATTGGATGTAGGTATTTCTGTGTTACTGATGTAGTAATTGATGTTAGTATTTCTGTGTTCGATGCAGTATTCTGTTGTTCCGATGCAGTATTCTGGTGCTTCCAAATGCAGATTCTGTGTGTCCAATGCAGTATTTTTCTTGGTTCCAATGCGTATTTTCTGTGTTCTGGATGCCAGTATTTCTTGTGTCTGATGCAGTATGCATGTAGTTATTTTCTGTTGTACTGATGCAGTATTCTGGTGTTCTGATTGCAGTATTTCTGGTGTCTGATGTAGTAATTTCTGTGTTACTGATGGCAGTACTGATCAGTATTTCTGGTGTACTGGATGAGTATGTCTGTGCTACCTGCCCGGCGGGGCGTCTCATCCTTCACCATTGCTCTCGGGCTCTCTTCGGCGTTCTCTCTCTTGGGCTGCCCGCGTCATGCGAACAATCTTGAGCCTTCAGGACTCTCGAACTGAGCACGCTCCTTCAGACTGACACAGACAAAGATCTTCAATGGTAAACAGAACTCTCACTCTGAGGGACAAAAACTGGAAGTCAAATCAAAATTGGTGTCTGCAGCAGCCCTCACAGAGATTGATTGATTAACTTCTGATAACAAATTGCCGACTGTGGATCGCTTTCTTTATTTTCAGTTGTGACCACAAATCCCATTCTGAACTTCTACACAGTTCAGCCCCAGCAGATCACACTTGATTATTGATTATCAGTGTATTATTATTGATACCGCAGCTCTTCTTCCTGTCCCGTCCTCTCCCAGTACTCCTCTCCCCTCTTTGTGAACGATGTTTCTGATTACTCTGCTATGTGTTTCACACTGGAGTGTTAATTTAAAGGAGCTATTTATTCTTTATCATGTTAGTATTTTGTTCTTACCGTCTTTTAATATGTGTCTACTACCGCCTAGTTGTGTTAAGTGTCTGTCTCTAGCTACAGAGTTTTGTTACTTAACGCTATATCCCAAGTAATACCGTTTACTATGTGGGGGTGTAGTGTATTTTAAAATACTCACTGCGGCTCCCTTTTCCTGTGATGTGTGTCTGAAACCAACTCTCTGGATGTGCCCGGTCTGGGTGAGTTCTCTGTGGCTCTGTGATGTGGGGTATTAACACTACATCATATCCATTATTATAATTTCATTACCAATATTTCCCCCCCCCCCAGGTGTTTTTAATGTTAAGTCAGCTCTGTGTGTGTACATTTGGTGTATAGCTGGACAGGCGTTATAGCCTGGACAGGGCGTATAGGGGTGGCAGCGTATTTAGCGGCTGGACAGGCGTATAGCGGTTTAGAAGCTGCTCAGGTGTACCTTGGGCCTCAGGAGTGCAGCCAAGCGCTCTCTCTCCTCTCTTTCCAGCTTCATCACCGGCCTCAACGTCTTTCTCCAGTTTGGGAGATCAGACTCTGAATTCAGGATGGGACTTCTGGGAGTTGGGGAGAGACACCAGAGAGAGAGACACATCACTATGACTAAACTGGACAGGTGACACCTGTTACGTCCTTGACACTGTTTGGCCTCTAGGGTGTGCGTACCTGGGCAGGACTCGAGCTTCACTTTCTGCTCTTGGGCCGACTTCACCACCTCCTTCAGAGTCTTCCTCTCCGGGACTCTCCGACCAGGAGACACTGAACGCCGCCGAACGCCCCGGGCCCTCGCCGTCCGTTCCAACACGGTGACGTAGTGCTTCACTGTGGACGGCATGGTGAAGTTAATCACCTGGGACACACAGGGAGACAGGTCAGGGAGAGAGATAGGTCAGAGAGACATAGTTACAGGTCACTGATTATCTGTAGGAAAATTGCAAGAAAAAACGTGATCGGTCCTCTGACTGCGTGCAGCCTCAAGTTTTAGTTCGTTTTAATTGTCTTTAGTTAACTGCTAAATGGCCAACGACCAACTGCTGTGAGAGAACAAGAAGTACTTCAAAGTACCTGAATAAAGCAGTAACTTTACTTACTATTAGTACACATTACTATCATTTACAATATATATAGGCTTAAGGTGTTCCTCTTTGATAACGTTGACTATTTCTCTTCATATCTATTTCTCTTCATATCACAAACATATTTTAATGTTTATCTGGAATCCAGATCCGGTGACCGGCCGGAAAGCCGCCATTGTTTCCAAACCAAAGAGGCAGCCAACTGAGAGCGATCAACTCGCAGTACGTGACCTCTGCTGGCTGCTAAACACTAACATGGAGTCCACTCACCGTTTTGACTCCATCGATGTCGAGACCTCTGGCTGCTACATCTGTGGCCACCAAGATATCAATCTGTTCATCTTTGAAACGCCTGGAGAACAAAGAGAACAATAGAGGTAAATACATATTTCAAATGATCAACTACAGGGTTTTTTTCTATGTATGTGTACCTGAGGTTCTCCAGTCTTTGGTTCTGGCTCAGTTCTCCATGCAGTTCTCCGACCTTAAGTCCCATCAGCCCCAGCAGGATGTGGAGTCTGTGAGCCTGCTTCCTGGTCTGAGTGAAACACATCACGTGATCCTGGAACGTCCGAGTGAGCAGGGCTGTAAGAACACACAGAGTTAGTTCTGCAGTATACAGAAGTAGTACTGCATCTTTTGCAAAGATTAAATTAACCAATTACTCGAGGCGAGTCAGTAGTCGGTAGCATTATGAGTAGTTATCAGTACTAGTTTGTAGTATCAGTAGTGCTGTACCTGCCACCACAGCCTCTCTGTCTCCCTCTCTGTTGGGTCGAATTCGGACAAACTCTTGTCGTAGAAATGGAGCCACGTCAGTGTTGCTGTTAACAAAGATTCTGATTGGCTGCTTCAACGACACCGCTGCCAGGTCCTTTACCTGGAGACAGAAAGTCACATGACACACAGTGAAACCCCTGGAGATAGGAAGTCACATGACACAGTGAAACCCCTGGAGACAGGTTTGTGTACCTCCTCTGTCATGGTGGCGGAGAACAACATGGTCTGTCTGTTGTAAGAACACAATCTGATGATCTCCTTCATTTGTTCCTCAAAGTACTCGTCCAGCATCCTGAGGAACCAAACAGAACCACACAGGTGAGTTCTCTGTGCGTACCTGTAATGATGCAGGAATAAGTATGTCAAGTGTTTACCTGTCGGCCTCATCCAGGATCAGGATTTCGATGTGAGTCAGTTCAAAGCATGGCGTGTTGTGAAGGTGATCGATTAGCCGACCAGGTGTAGCTATCAGAACGTCTGGCCCCGCCCTCAATGCTACCTCCTGAGACTTCAGGTCCAACCCACCTGGAGACACACAGGGACAGGTTACAGAGACATACTGTGTCTCTTTATTTTTTATTCTCTGATTTGTCTGTACTGTAAGTCAGTAACATACCAACAGCCAGGCAGGTGGTGATGGAGGTGAACTGGGCGAGCTGACGAGCCACAGAGTGAACTTGGATCCCCAGTTCTCTGGTTGGAACTAGAACCAAGACCCGGGTCACCTGGGATGTCCGGGGCTTGTAAACCAAACGCTCCAACACCGGCAACATGAAGGCTGCCGTCTTCCCTGAGAAGAGGAATCATTTCATGAATCTACCTGGTCTCCAGTGTTAAATTGATTCCAGTATGATGAACTGGTCCCAGTGGTACCTGTCCCAGTGGCAGCACAGGCACACAGGTCTCGGCCCAGCAGGCCCACAGGAACACAGGCCTTCTGGATGGGGGTCGGCTGTTTGAAGCCCAGAGCGGTGATTGCCTGCAAGGACACAACAGGAGGTCACACCCAACAACAAAACCAGGACCCCTCCTGGAGCTGGGTCCACTGGGGGACACCCAGGGGCCGGCCTTCAGGTTCAGAATGAATGCTGAATTATTAATGAATTCAACCAATTTCAGACTTTCAAGCGTCTGTGGGAACTCGACTAAGGTAGTTGATGATTTTAATGAGCAGTCAACAGAAGTCCATTCATTTTTCTGCTGATTTAAGAGGGCGGTACCTTCAGGATGGGTCGGGACAGGTTCATGTCATCAAAGGTCAGCTGATCATCGTATTGAGATGCGTCTTCATAGAATGACTCTGGAGCCTGAAAACACACAGCAGTTACCACGGTAACCCAATACAATGAACCTGTGCCATCATCCGCTCCTCTTCCTCACCTCCTCTCCCATCTTCCTCTTTCTCCCCCGTCGCTCTTTGTCTCTGAGGGTGTCTGAAAGGAAAGAAAAATAAAGCAACTTGTTTGTTAACCGATTGTCTAATACATAAATTCAATTCAATTCAATTCAATTTTATTTGTATAGCGCCAATTCATAACAGAAGTTATCTCAGGACACCACCATGAGCAAGCACTTGGC